GGGGGGGGGGGGGGGGTAAGTGGATGTGTGTATGTGGCAGCCAGCACCTGAAAGAGTCTTTGAGGGTGATCTTTTGTTTCCTGGGGTTGGGCATGTACTCCTCGTTGACCGCCGACACGCCGTTCTCAGTGATGATGATCGACGGCGGATTATACCTACACACAACCGCCCGCAACCACACAACCACACACGGGAATCCTTTCCCCCCTACCCCACTGCCCTCACACACAGATGCGCACCGGTTTTGGACGTATTTGAGCAGCTGGGCCACGCCGAATGGCGCGGGGTAAAGCCAAATGCTGGCTGCCTCTGGCCCGATGGGCACGCTGAAGCGCTCGTAGCTGCTGCCGTCCTCGTGGCTCTCGTAGAGGGTCGTGTACATGTTGAGACCTGCACACACACATGCGCACAGAGAGAGACACAGAGAGACGTCTCTGTGTGTGTGTGGGGTGTGTGCGTAGGTACCGACCGAAGAAGTCGCTGGAGCCTTTGAGGAGCTCCTTCTCGGCTGGTGTGAACACCTGCCATGGACACACACAAGGGTGTGTGTGTGTGTGTGTGTGTGCAGAGACACAGACGTACGGACCGGCATTTTCTTGCCCCATCGTGCTTTGAGCGTTTTGGGGTAGTCGCCCAGATAAATCTACACACCCACACAGACACGCGCAACAGACATTCAGACGCACACACGCGCACACACGCATCATAATAAGCGGCCTTGACTCCTTGTGTCTGTTGTCTGGGACATACACACCGGGTCGGCGAACCAGCCGAGCTGTGAGTCGATGGCGCCCTGTGTGCGGGTGACGTCCTTCGGGTCAGAGGGGTTGTGCGGCACTCGCCACTCTGATCCATGTCATGTGTCGAAGCAAAGGCAGACACGCGCATCACAGAGAGGGTGTGGTATGGTCTGTGTCTGTCGAGGATGCTTGGTCATGGCAGGGCATGGGATGGCAGCCTACCGTGGTTGAGAGTGATGCCGATGCGCTTGCCCTTCCTTTGGTACTTGCTGCGGAACAGCTTCACTGCCTGATAGATAAGCACAGACACAACACCACACCACACACACCACACAGAGGAGGGGAGAAGTCAAGTGTGTCGACAGGCATTCTCGATTCGGTGGATGGATGGATGGATGGAAAATATGGACCTTGCCGTGTGCGAGCAGCACGTGGTGGCCGCACTTGAGGTCGTCCGCCGTGGACTTGACGCCGGGCGCGTGAATGCCCAATTGGTACCCCAGCTTGCAGAAGACCCAAGGCTCGTTGAACTGAGTGATACAATCAACGAACAGACACACACACACACACACAGAGAGAGAGAGAGAGAGAGAGAGGTTGGGGGGTTGTTGTGGGTGGGGGTGGGGTGGTGGCCATACGGTGATGAAATCGTCAACATGGTCAATGAACTCGGAGAAGACCAAGTCGGCGTACTTCACGTAGGCGTCCACGACCGACTTCTCACGCCAATCCAAACCTCTGCACACACACACACACACACACACAGAGAGAGAGAGAGAGGGAGAGAGAGAGAGAGGGAGAGAGAGAGAGACGTGTGTGTTGGGGTGCTTTGTGGGCAGGTGCTTACGCGGGAAGGTCCCAGTGGTAGAGTGTGACCAAAGGCTGCATCCCGTTCTCCTTGGTCGCCTTGATCACATCCTTGTAGAAAGCCACACCAGCCTACACACACACACACATTCGCACACAGAGGGATGCGATGTGTCGCGTCGGTGTAAGCAATGAACGTGTGTTGTGCACCTGGTTTCTCTTGCCGTGTGGCATGAGCCGTGACCACGAGATCGAGAAGCGGAAGGCGTTGAAACCCGAGCCCTTCATCCGGGCCATGTCGCCAGCGTACTTGTGGAAGAAGTCACAGGCAACGTCACCCTGCACACACACACACACACACACAGACCCTGGTGTGTGTAGTGATGTCACTGTGTGGCTGGGGGGAGGGTCTGGCGTACTGTGTGTCCGTTGTGGGCCTTCTCGGCGTGTGTGAATTCGTCCCATATCGACGGCGCGCGGCCGCCCTTATTCCACCCGCCCTCAACCTAACCACACACACACACACAGACACACACTCGCCGTAAATGTGTGTGTGATGTGATGTGGAGTGAGAGTGAGTGCCCACCTGGTAGGCAGCTGTAGCCGTGCCCCACATAAAGGGCTTCGCAATGCCGCTGCCCTCCACCTGTGTGTGAGAATGATGCAGACAGAGTGGGTGTGGGTGTGGATGCGCAGGTTAGCAGGGTGGTGAGCACCTGCCTACCTACCTTCTGCACAGCCGTGGCTAGCAGCGGCAGGATGCCCTGCTCATACGGCATGTTTGGCGCCTTCGCCATGCCGTTGGGCTTGAGGAGGAGGTTGTCCGCGGCGGCATTGCAGGACCACCCCTTCTTGACGCACTCGTGGACAGCCCTGATCAGGTGCTTGAACCAGTTTCCCGACTCCTGAATATGACATATGAGCACATTGATGGACACGCGCGCCAAACTGTGTGTGCCTGTGTGTGTGTGTGTGGTTACCTTGATCTTTCGCTCCTTCTTGCTGTCGTCAGAGACGCTCATCAACCCCACCCTGACAGACAGACACACAGACACACATCCACAGGCAGATGGAGGTGCGCACCCTGCACACCCTGCACACATACGTACTTGCCGCTGCTCATCTGCACGGCGGCCTTGGGCACGTCCACGAGCGACCAGGCGAACATGCCCCCCAGCCGGACACCGCGGTGCAGCGCCGCCATGGCCAGCTCAAACATCGTCATGTGATAGTACCAAATCCTGATTCACCCACACAGACACACAGAGAGAAGGAGAGAGAGAGAGTGTGTGTGTTGGGAGTAGAGGGGGTGGGAGGGGGTACCTCTGTTGGTCGTTGAGGAGCGCCTTCTCTGGCAGATAGTCCTCCATGGCATTCACAAGGCCTGCGGCGTAACAATCAGACGACGGAATTCTGAATGCACTCCCCCCCCACCCAGACCAGACCCCCACCCACTGTCTCACCCATTTGTGTGACGAGAATCTCTTTAGGGTTGTATTCCTTCTGCAGCTGCTGCAGCGCCTTGCCCAGGGGGGCGTGCTCGATCGCCCGCAGCCACACAGACTGGTCGCTCGCCCCGCTGACATGCCAACGCACACACACACTCATCCACAGACTCATACTCATCCACACACTCGTCACGCAGTCAGTGGTGGGTACTTGAGTGTCCCATAGGTGGCGATGCCGACGAAGTCTGGCTTCGCGTCGGCCAGCAGTGTCTTCTCTTCGGCGGTGAGCCACCCACCGCCACCAGAAGACACCAGAGGCGAAACCGACGTGCGGAAGATCTGCATAAGAAAGAATGGTGACATGACGGCGCGTGTGGGTGTCGTGGGTGAGTGGTGGGTGAGTGGGGCTTACGGGGTCGAGGAAGGTCTGTTTCTGGAAGTCGAGTGCGTCCCGTCCTTGGTCGTCTTTTCCAAGGATTTCTGCCTGCAGACCTGTGTGTGTGTGTGTGTGTGTGTGTAGTGAGCGCACAACCATACACAAGTGTGCGTGCGTTCGTGTGTCTGTGTGTCGGTGTGTCTGTGTGGTGGGAGAGAGACCTACCACCTTGTGAGCACTCCGCTGCGCCCGACATGAGGACGTCGCCAATCTCACTCGCCGTGCGGCCCATATCGCTCGTCTGCCCTCACACTCACACACACACGCGCACAGAAGCGATGTGTCTGTGCTGCGTGTGCGTGTGTGTGTGTGGGTGGGTGGTAGAGTTTCCATGCCTTCAGGTAGCAGTTGTTGATCCCCTCCGGCGCGTCGGGCCCATCCGCCCTGTAAGTGAAGAAGAGGCAGCCGTCGTGGCCCTGGCAGGCCACGCGGCACTCGGCAGGAGACGCCGCGTGGACCTCAAACACATCTGAACCACACGCCCACAACCCACAGGCGCACAAGTGGGTTTGCGTGTGGGTGCTGGTGAGTGGGTTGGTAGGTACCATAGCCGTAGAAGTCGATGCCCTTTTCGATGCAGGCATCTTCGCCCGAGGGCTCTTGCAGCGCACGGAGGTACTCTGTCCACCGCACACACGGACAGAAAGAGCGTCTTGACGGTGTGTGATCTGTCTGTCTGTCTGTCTGTGTGTGGGGTCGTTTGCTCGCCTGTGGTCGTGTAGTTGGTCTCTTGCAGCCGCCTGCCCTTCCCCGCCGGATGGGCATATGGGTGGTCCGACGCTGCACACACACACACACACACACATCCACGGTCACTCATTGATATGGCTGCCGTTGTGTGTATGTTATTGCGGGTGTGGTGTACCGACCGAGGGACAGCGTGAATCCGATCTTCTTGCCGCCGCCGTCCTTGGGGGCCTTCTTCCGGTGCACATCTACCGCCTATATCGACACGCAGATGTGTGTGCTGGTGCCTGGTTTGGGAGAGAGCCTGCGCCCCACCCACCCTTGCGTGTGCCAGCAGGAGCGACCGTGCGCACTTTTCGACGTCGCCCTCGCCGCCACGCACAAACGGGGGAACTGCACATCAAACACAACACACAGAGAGGTCGCGTGGGTGTGGTGTGGGTGCTGTCTGTGTGGCGTGTCTGGTGGCCATTTACTTGTGCCTTGGTGGTACCCAAAATGGCAGATGGCGTAGGGGTCGTGGATCTACGTAGTAACACACAATGGTCAACATGACTGAGTGCGTAACTGCGCGCAGGTGTGTCGTACGGTGATCCACGTGTTGACGGAGGGCAGGCCCGTGTACATGACCTCGGCAAAGGCCGCGAAGTCGTCCACAGTCGACTTCACGCGCCAGTCCTTACCCCTAAACAACACACCACACCACACCACACCACACCACACACGCGCACACATGCATAGACACATCCGTATCTCTGTGCGCACCCAACACGCCTCAAGCATACTGTGGCATGTCCCAGTGGTAGAGTGTGGCGATCGGCTCCATGCCGTTGGCCTTTATGGCCTTCACCAACCGCTGATAGTACGAAACACCTGCACACAGGCGGCACAGGCGCCACATACGGGTGTGTGAGGCCATCGATCCATCCATCCACACCTTTGTGGTTGGGCTTGTTGTCTTTGGTCATGACTCGGGACCAGCTGATGGAGAAGCTGACGGATGGCGACAACGATACCACAATCAATGGGACACAGAGAGCGTGTGGTGCCTGCCCATTGGCACGTGTGTGTTGCCCTTTTCTCCTTCTCACTGGAAAGCGTCGAAAGCCATATCTTTAGCCTTGGCGATGTCCTGCTCGAACTTGTCGTGGAAGCCAGCGCCTTCACTCTGGCACACACGCCACACACACACACAGACGAGCAAACACCATCCACACCCCATGTGTGTGACGCTGACGCTACCCACGCCCACCGCACCGGTTTCCTGCCCGCCTTCTTGTCGGCCGCGTCCCACACGCTGTCGTGACGGCCATCACCAGACGAATGACCCTCCACCTGCAGAAGAAACACACACAATCACACACAATCACACAATCACACAACACACAAAGTGCAAAACGCCCCGCCTGCCCCGACACACACACAACGACCCCCAGCGGTGCACCTGGAAAGCGACTGTGGAGGTGCCAAAGAGGAATTTCCGGCCCTCCTTCTTGCCCTTTTCCACGGCAGCGGTCAGTGCAGCCAGGAGGTTCTCCTCCGGCGGCAGGGCCTTGTCGTACTTGTGCCAGGGTTTGTTGACGAGGCCCTTGAGCGCCTCGTCGACGTGGCACTGGTGCGAAATCGCCGCTGGCCGGAAAGAAAGGGCGGCCAAAGGCGAGGAGGCCAGCAGGAGGAAAGGGAAACCAAAGGTCAGTTGGGGCTGCATTGCTGATCAAAAAAGTGCCTGCGTACTATTGTTTCGTACCTCCGAGCTCTCTCTATTCCTGCTTTGATTTTCCCTTTTAGGCGCACGTCTTTCCCGCCCTACTCCTTCAGCGGCCGCGTGTCGATTTCCGGCATCGACGACCGCCCCCTGACGCGCATCAACTTCCCGGGTGGTTCTCTCGCTGATGTGCCCTTCCTCATCCCGACCCAAGGCAGCCAGCGCTCAGTCATGACACAAGACACCCTGCAGCGCAGCGGCCTTCAAGACCACTTCCATCCCTTCAGCGAGAGGGATGTTGTGATGCTGCTGGATGACAACAATCGCCCCATCACGCCTCTCGGTGCTGTCACGTTCCTCGCGTCAGCCAGTGCTCGAGCAGAAGATCGCCATCCCGTCACCTTCTTCGTGGTGCCGGGCTCACTGCTCAATGTCATTGGCGACGACTCCCTCAAAGCTGTGTCTGGCGGCGACCTCGTGGTGGTGGGACCAGACGGCGCTACAGGCGATGGGCAGTATTGCTTCCACGCCTTCTCCCCGCTGCCGGTCGTTGAGGCGTATGCCGCGTGCTCGAAAGCAAGCTGGGGCGTCTACGTGGAGGGCTTTGTGCAGGACAGGTACCTGAGCGGGCTGGCAGCACAGCACACCTCATGTACCGACCTCTCCTTTTGATTCATTTGCAGCGGTGTGGTGGATGGAGGCCAGACGAGCAACCGCGCCTCGCTGTGCGCCATCGTGAAGGCAATCAAGCACTGCTGGTACTGGTACGCCACACGCGCACAGACGCAATACGTCGCAGCCATATTGCTCGTCCTTCGTCTGGTGCGATTGTTGCGTTGCAGCGACGATGAGCGTCTGAGTTGCCGCCCTGCGGTGATCCACTCCTGCTCGGAGTACGCTGTTAGGTGTGCCGTCGAGTGGCTGCATAAGTGGCACACCGGATGGAGGAAGAGCGACAAGAAGGTGACATCACAGCTGCCACGGGGTGTTCCGGCTGGAGCCGTCATCATGGCAGCTTGTCTGTGTGTGTGGTGCCTTTGATTGCAGCCCGTGAAGAATCGGGATCTCATCGAGGAGATCGATGAGCTGATACAGGTACACACACAGAATGCTCTTCCATCGACGTACATGACGCCGGACATACGGATGCCTTCCTCGATCCTAGGTGAGGCAGGGGCAAATGGAGCCTGCCGCGCTGCAGTTTGTCCACGTGCGCGACGACGGCCCAGGAACCTCGCGGGCGAGGGGACTTGCACATGCTGTGCAGGGGGCTCCACATAGAAACACCTGACCGAATGTAATGTGGATGGCTTTTTGCTCCTTTGTTTCCATATTTGCCGTGGCCGGCCGGCCGGTGGCTGCTATAAATGTGAATGAGGCGATCGATGGGATCATGCAAATCGGTGCCGTCTACGTACTTACGTGTGCATGGATATGTGCATGGATAGATGGATGGAAGCCGCCGGCCATGCAGTGCGTGCCAGTGTACGCTCGAGATGAGGGTGGGCGTACATATATATACCGTTCGTTGTATACACTTTCTTCGGGTGAATGGATGGTTGGTTGGTTTACGCTCAGGACTGTGACGGTGAGACACTCTAAATGTTCATGCAACACTCAGAGTGTCTGCACACACACACACACATCTATCTCCAGCCACCAACACAATGAACCTGCTGCTTAGATTTCGCCTCGGCGTGTGCCAAAAAGGAAATCAGCCATCAGTTATTCATCTTTCGATCAATCCATTCACCGTCAGTGTCATCAGCCACGCGCACACACGCAATGGACCGCCCATGTGTGTCTCTTTCTCTCTGGCTGTCTGTGTCTGTCTGTGTGCCTCATGGGTCATCGCTGTCTGGTATTGGCTGTGCGATTCGTTGGATGGTGAGTGCCATGAGTGTGGTGTGGCTGCGGGCACACACACTCTCGCGCGACGCGCCGCTCGCCATGCACTCTGCCGTCACCGATATGCTCTTGTCGTCCACTGTCACCTCACCACTCGCCTGCACACACACAACAGCCGCACATATGTGTCGTCCATCCATCCATCCATCCATGTGTTGTGATGTGATGTGGGTGGGTGGGCCACCCAGTAGATTTGTCCTGCGGCCAACTTCTTGTGCTTGACAAACGACACGCCGTTCACCTGCACACACACACAAACACACACACACACACACATCGACAGGCTGCCCATGGTGCCGTCCTCACTGACTCAATGAATAAATGACTCACCTGGAGGTCGAATGACTGTTTGGTGGTGCCCTCCTTGTGTGTGTGTTGCGGTGCCAAAGTGGCGCACGGGCTGCCGATCTGGGCCTGCACGAGGTATCGTCCGGTCGGCAGCCCGGCCACGGTCCAGCTGTTGGGCGTGCAGTCGACTCGCTGCTCGCGGCACTCCTGCGTCTCGGGGGCCGGCGGGAAGGAAATTCCATAACTGTTGAGGGGGTCGGTCGCCGCTGCCGACTTGTGGGGGCAGTGCACGATGTTTCTGTGGGCGTCTCTTGTCCAGCCGAAGACTGGCGTGCCGACTTCAGCTTTGGTGGACCGCTCCTGGCCGTTGTCAGCGATGAAGCCGGCGGGAGTGGGGACGCCGCTGGGCTGGAACGAGAAGGCGAAGCTGATGGCGCCCTTTTGCTGTGCCGTCTTGATACACGCGCGCCCCGGCACCCGACTGCCGCACGGCAGCACACACGAGGGGGCGGCACTCGGCCACTCGTACTTGAGCACCGCACCACTCTGACACACTCACACAATGAATGACACACAGACGATGAGGTGAGGCGTCTCTTTCTCTGTGTGTGTGTGTTGATCGACCTGAGTGAGTTTGACGAGGATTTCCTTTTGCTGGTTGGGCAGCGTCGACACGGCGGCGATCTCTGCGGCCGCCCAGGTGCCGTTGGCCACTCTGACGTCTACCTGCATGCCTGCGGCGGGCTGGAAGGAGGGCGGCGGCGTGAGCGATTGAAAGGCCAGTGCATAGCCCGACGGGCCGCGAAGCGACGACACCCCGCGACGCGAGACGCCCTTGCTGAAGCCCTTTGGCTGCGGGCCGACAATCGTCACGTAGAAGTCGCAGTGGCCACTCGAAGACGTCACGCCACACGCACCGCTGCAGTCAGTTAAGCAAAGACAGACAGACAAGAGAGAGGTGCGTGTGTGTCTGTGTGGTGTCTGTGTGTGTGTGTGGTGGGTTTAGGTGGTTGGGTGTGGTGACTTACCTGTGGATGGCGGCCTTGCAGAGGTTTGACTCGGCTGCGTACAGTCCGTCGCCGTACACCGATCCCTTGCGGGCGGCCAGACACTCGCTGACGGGCGGACAGGAGAAGGCGTACACCGACCCTTCCTCGACCGGGTGGACCTGACAATCAGTCACACATCACATCAAGTAGGTCAAGACACACACTCATCCATCGAATCGGTCAATCTATGTGGCTGTGTCTCCCTCTGTGTTAATCGTTTGTGTGTGTGGCGTGGCGTGGCGTGCCTCGGGGATCTTCTCGAGTGTGGTTGTGCAGTCGATGTGATGGACGTGTGTGGGTGCGTTGCCACTGGCGGCCGTCTCGGGTGAGCATGGTGTGCCGATGAAGTCGAAGCTGCCGCCCGTGAACTGCCCGTGGCCGCTCATCGCCGTCACCGTCGCCGTCACGCGACGCGTCACGATCGGCCGCGGCAGTCGATAGTCGCGCACCGAGTTGCTCGAACGAATCGAAAACACCTGAAAGTCAAGACATAAGTAAGGAGAGTGTGTGATGTGACTGTCCATCAGTGTGTGTGTGCGTGTGCCTGTCCGGTCTCGTCGGGTTCGTCGGTGGTGGTGAGGCGGATCTCCGACGGACGGTTGACAAACGAGTCCAGCGGCTTGAACTAAGACACACACACAGAGAGAGCAATGGACTGACGTGTGTGTCTGTGTTTGGTGGCTCACTTTGAATTCGTTGATTTGCACGGGTTTGGAGAATTTGACAGTGATGCTCTCGTACACGCCGCCCGCGCCGACACTCGACCGCCACACGCCCAGCGGCCCGTCCGTGTGACGGCCACTCAGACCTGACACACACACAGATGGATGGATGTGTGTGTGTGTGTGTGTCTGTTTGTGTCTGTGTGTGGCTGGCTGACCGTATTGGAAGCTGAAGTCGTCCCCGGCCTGCGATGACGCCTCGCAGCCGGCGTAGGTGTCGCTGTTTGGCCGCGAGAGGACGACCGTCTCGCCCCCGCAGGCCTCCTCGCCCTTCGGCTGCGGCTGGTCGAACAACAGCACGAAGGGCCGCGAGTGCGTCACGGCGAGGCCGACGTCGCCGGCCGGCGAATCCACATAGTGCACGCCCAAGATGCGCGAGCCGACGGCCCTGTCCGCCTCAGTGCGCCTGGGGCCCCTCGAGAGCAGGTGCAGGAGGTCGTCGGTCGCGTGGAAGTGCAGAGGCCGCTCCTCGCATGACGCCACGGGCAATGACTCACCCTGAACCAATTCACATGGACGGATGGATGGATGTGTGTGGATGTGTGTGTGTGTACCGTTTGTGAGAGGACGAACAGCTTGGCGGGCATGTTGGTGGTCATTGTGAGTTTGGTGCCGACGGCCGGCGTGGCGTTGGTTCGGAGCATTCGCATGTTGACGTACTTGAGAGGCAAGTCCGCCAGCACTGTGGTGCTGTCGGCCATGAAGGCGGCCTCCCCGTTGGCGGCGTACCCGAGTTGCCACGTGGAGGGGTCGAAGCCGCTGAGCTTGAGGGCCGGGGGCGGGTTGGTCTTGAAGAGGGCCGACGGGGGCACCACACGCTCAGACATGACACCCTCTATCGACCACAGCAACCTGTGGGTCATCGATGACACACACACATAGAGGACACACACACATGGAGGTCTGTCTGTCTGTCTGTCTGTGTGGTCCATTGGTGCCCTTCTGACTTGATAGTGGCGTCGTAAGGTTTGTTCCACCGCATGTGACTCGAGTGAAAGAACTCCAACCTACACACATCGACACACACATCCAATCCACTCGTGTGTGTTTGTCCATCCATCCACCCCCACACAGACAGACCTGATTTTGTATTTCTGTCCGCCGACGAGCTTGATGGGCTTCTCCGACGTCGCTTTGCGCGTCTCGTCCTTGCCAGGCTGCGGGCCGAGCAGCGGGACGGGCTCGTCGGTGAGCTGTGGGGAGGGCGGTGGCGGCATGCGGTCGACAATGACGGCGTCCTGGCTGAGGAAGAGACGGCACCCTCCTGAGGCGATCGTGGTGAAGTGGTAGTAGCCCGTCTGCGGCGCCAGCACGTAGCCGTCCCACCGGGCGCTGAAGGCCGAAATGGGCACACCCTCGATCGGCGTCTTGTGGAAGAACTCAAAGTCAACATCTAAACACACATCACATGGCATGGATGACACACAGACACATCAGATCAGATGACGTGCATATCTCTGTGTGTCTTGACTGATTGACTCACTCACTCACTTGGGTCGTCTCTGTACTTGGCGTCGCCGCTGAAGGTCGCACCGCTGAAGTACACGGCCCGGAGACCGTCGGCGAAGGGGGACTCCTCGTAGCCGGGCAACCCCTCACCTGTGTGTGTGGTGTCTTGTCGTCTTGTGTGTGGTGTCCTGTGTGTCCTGTGTGTGAGCTACATACAGTTCTTGGAGTTGAGTTCCATGCTTTCCTCTTCCTTCTGCCGCTCCATCTCCAACGTCGATATGGCACTCTGTGGACTCAGTCAGCACACCAACCAACGAGTGTGGGTGTGCCCGTGTGTGTTGTGTGTGTGAGAGGCTGACTGAGTGACCTTGATGGTTTGTATCTTGTTGATGTTTGCCTCGACGCCCGCGATGCAGTGGTTGCCCTTGTCCAGCAGCGATTCGACCTTTGAGATTTGGGCACCGACCGCCTCGTGCTCGGCACCGCACACCGTCTCGTAGATGGCTGACACACACATATATACAGCGTGTGTTCGTCTGTGTGGTGTCTGTGTGTCTGTCTATTAGCCCACATACCTTCTTCCTTCATGAGTCGGCCGCTCTCGTGGTTGAGTCGGTCGAGGACCACGCGGGCCTGGCTCGTCAGCTCGGTGAAGGCCTCGCTTGCGGACGAGCGGACGGCGTCGTAGTCGACCACCGGGACACAGTAGTTCCAGCCGTCTGGCCGGCCCTTGACCACCCGCTCATAGTAGCACCTGGTGACACACACACACAGACAAACCGAGACATGGATGTGTGGGCATGATGTGCGTACCACTCTCGTCCGGTGGCGCCGTCCGGGTTGGTGGCGTCGGTGCAGTCCGTGTAGGTCAGGCCGTCCTGCGCAAACGCCGCAGCGCACAAACGACCGTCGATGGTCTTGCGGTGCTGCTGACGATAACGAGTCAATGCCGCCAAAGGCTCTGCATACACAACAAACACAAGCACATGCAGTGACTGCTTGTGTTGTTTGTCTGTATGTCTCTCTGTGTGTGTGCTTGTCTTGCCTCTGTCGTATCCGACGTCTGTGATGGGTGGAGCTTGCTCGAGACTCTCAGTCACGAGGAGACTCACAAGCACCGACAGCAGCAGACTCGACATGGTGGCTGTCTCGCTGGCAGGCAGGCAGACAATGAGTGAGTGAGTCAGCGATTCAACTCTGGTCTGACTGTCTGCTCTTTCCTCTGCCCTCTGCGCAAGCTGAAGCGATGAGTGAATGAATCAAGCAATCCGATCGATCAATCACACTTCATACGTACATTTTTGTCGATCGATCCACGTACGTACATATGCCTCACTGCCCGTTGTGCATATGTTCGTGCCCCGTCAAGAAGGCGGTGTGATTGGAGCGAACACACACACATCATCACATCGTCACACCGTCACATCAGATGGTCATATGTGCCAAGAGCTGCCACGTCGCCGATGACCACGATCGCCGGCGACAGCTTCATCGCTGCGGTGGACAAAGAGAGAGAAGACCCTTGACAGTGAAGGCGCACGGAAAAGACTTTTCCTTCACTCACTCACTTTGCGTCAATCCACCGATCGTTTTGATAGTGCCCACCACTCGCCTCTGCCCCTCCCGATGCGCATTGTGAATCACGGCGACGGGTGTGTCTTCCGACCTTCCATTAGTCAACAAGAACGAACATATGTTGGGCAGCGTCTTGCCTGCGCAAAGAGAAAAGCAGCCCTCGAGCAGTGCAGCCCTCGATCACTTTTGTCGGCTAGCTACCTGCCATCAGGATGACATATGTGTCAATGACGCCATTTGCAAGGGCAGTCCAGTCGAGCGACTGGACTTCGTGACCTGATGCAACAGCCACCACCTTTGATTTCGTCTTGTGAGTGAGCGGGAGGACGGCTGCGGCGGGTGCAGAAAGAACAGATGACACGCCAGGAACTGACGTATCACATGATAACAGACAACGAAGAAGCGCTTCGAATGATGGTGGTGTCTGGTGTTGTTTGGCGCTGGCTCACCGATCTCGAATGGTATGTTTGCATCCCGCAGCGACACTATCTCACTCCACACACGACCGAACACCAGGGGGTCCCCTCCTTTCAGACGAACCACAGCATGGCCCTCTCTCGCTGCACGGATCAGAGGATGGCATCCACCGTGAATAGGACCGCCGGGTGATCAGTCGGCTGTGGAAAGCTCACCCTTCTCGACCAGGAGCTGGTCGATGTCTGACTGCGGAGTGCTGTCGTCTCGCCCTCCCCTCTTGCCAACATGGACAATCTCACAGCCTGATGCATGACACAATGACACCCGCATCGTGACAGGACCGCTCTCATGACCCCCCGTGTGTACCTTCTGGGGCGAAAGAGAGTACATCTCGCTCAACAAGATCATCAGTCACCACCACAGTCGCTGTAGCTAACAGATGTGCAGCACGCAGCGTCATCAGATCTGTAAGAGGCGCACGCACCCTCGTGTCAGACGCATTGCAGACGATGCTGCTCTCGCCACGCGCACCTGCTGAAGCAGGACCCGCTCCCACCAGGTACACGCAGCCCGTCTTGCAGGCCCGTCCGGCGTCCGTCAAGTATTTCCACAGGGCCTTGTGTTTTCTTCTTCTCCTGGATCTCAGCAATTCCAGGCCAAGCGCAGCACCCAGGCCTGCAGCGACTCCCATGGTCACCAGAAGCGCCTTCTGCCATGATAGATCAGATCCCGTCATGAGCATTCAATCTGAAAACAATAAAAAAGCCCAGGGAGTGTACGTGTGAGTCGGGATAAACCTGAACCCTTCTGCAAACTAAAAGAAGCCGCGAAGCACTTCAAGCTCGCAGCGTTGCCGGATAAGCGCGCAGGCGGATCGGCTGATCTCTCCTCCGCCGTCGCTCAGCAGCTCATTCGTCCATTCGCGTGGTGGTCCAACATAACCTGTGGTTCAGCAGCATGCTTACTCGAAGAAAGAGGAGAGTGAGGATGCCATCACGAGCAGTGATCTGTGCAGTCATCCTTGCGCTGTCCACCAGCGGCAGCAGTGCTGTCAACAGGCCGGCCTTTCAGCCACCTCTTCCCTCTGAATCAAAACCACAGCTTGCCACGCTCAAGACGGCCGCCGCGCGGATCAAGCAAACAGATGCTGCCACGCCAGAGCAGCCGCGGCCATCTCAACGGCAAGGCCTTCAGCTGCGAGACGAAGATGGCAATCTCATCGACCCTGTCACCTCTGCCGGCTCATCGCCACTGCCCTCGAAGAAGGCCAGTGACATCCTCCCACCCCGTCTGTACAGCCCCCTCTTCACGTCCTTGTTCCTTGCTGCCGCCGTACTGCCGTCCAACACCGCTTTCGACCCGTCTGGCTTTATCGGTCCCTCGGTGATAGCGGCTCTGGTCTTCTTCCACGAGCTCGGCCACTTTATCGCAGCGCAGCTGTGTGGAGTAGCCGTCAAGGAGTTCGCTGTTGGCATCGGCCCCCCACTCGTCTCATGGTCACCGCCACCCAGCCCACCAGAGGAGCCGCAGACGCCAGGAGTGACCGTCAGACCCCTGCGCACACTGCGCCGGAGTGACCCATCGTCAAAACCCAGTCGGCAGCCGGCTCCCTTACAGAGCGACAGCGATGAGGGGTGGCGGTGGGGCGAGGGGACGAAGTGGTCGCTGCGGATGCTGCCGTTCGGTGGCTACAACATGCTGAGCACGGCGTGGGAGCAGAAGGAGGACGGCAAGTTTGTCCTCCTGCAGAAGCCAGAGCTGTTCGAGAACAAGTCGGCTCCCGAGAAGGCGCTGGTGCTGCTGGGGGGCATCCTTGCCAACTTGGCTCTCGCGTGGGCGTGCATCACGGCCGGTGTGGCCTGGAGTGGCGTGCCATCTGTGACGCCGGAACCGGGGATCCAGGTGAGTGTCAGAAACACACACGTATACCGACACGTTGTTTGTGCCTGTACTTCTCTCGTTTGTCTGCGAGTGTGTCCCATCAGATTTTGAATGTCCGTTGTGCTGGTGAGGTTTCCCAGTCAGCCAGGAGCAGCAGCGTCGACGTGCAGCTGACCGACAAAGGCGAGCGGTGCCCTGCTGCCGAGGCGGGTCTGAGGCCAGGCGACGTCATACTCCAAGTGGGCGACCTGAAGATCCCCCCCGCCAAGCCGATCCCCCAGGACAGCAGGAACATCATCACCAAGGAGGTCATTCCGAGGATCGAAAAGTCAGCCGACGAGCCCCTGAGGCTGCTCATCTCGCGAGAGACCAAGGCGCCACCATCAGCCACAGCAGCAGCAGCAGCGACAGACGAGCGTCCATCGTATCCCGTGTTGCGGTCGTCTCTGTCGTCGAGTGACATCTTTGAGGTGTACGTGCAGCCGCAGACCAGGAGCAAGGTGGTGGGCGGCACCACGGTGCAGTACGGCTCCGTCGGCATCGACATGGTCCCCAACATCGTCTTCAGCTACAGGCGGCCCGAGTCGCTCTTGGAGGTCATATCCATCGGCACCAAGGAGTTCTGGATCGCCACCAGCACCGCAGCACAGGGCTACTTCCAGTTCTTCACACGTATGCTCACATTCACCCCCGACCCGTCAGTGCAGGGGCGGCTGGTGGGGCCGGTCGGCATCTCTAAGCAGGTCTCGGCCGTGAGCAAGACCGACTCGGCGCGGCTGCTGCCCTTCATTGCCGAGCTGTCGATATCTCTGGCGATTCTCAACCTCATCCCGCTGCCGATTTTGGACGGCGGGCAGCTGGTGGAGCTGATCGTTGAGACGATCCGCGGCAAGGCCTTCGACCCACGCACTAAGGGGCGGGTGAGGGGCATTTTTATCGTCGGATTCGTCGTGCTGGCCCTGCAGACACTCGTGTCAGACATACTGGCGCCATAGAGGGTTGGTGGAGGGTGGGGAGGTGGGGGCTAGCTAGATGTATGTGTGTAAGAGAGATGCAGAGAGCTGTCTTTTTCGGTGCAGCTGGGGAGCAGGCAATTTTCGCACAGCCTCCTCATTGCATGATGATGGCATCGATCGATGCGTTCAGGTAGGCAGACAGACACAGACAGACCCCCTCACTGTGCGGTTCGGTTGTCGGTCGGGGGGAGGGGAAATGAGCATTTTTGTCACTGACTCGCAGATTCATGGCTGATGTAGAGTTTGTGCCGTGGGTGGGTGGGTGAGTGTGGCAGGCGCTGCCGAGGGAGGGGGCCGGTAGGGAGCTGTTTTGAGGAGGGGTGGGTCGCGTGGTGTGCAGATCTATCTTCGTGGGTGCATGATGGATGTGTCAGCTGCGGTAGCACAAAGACACTGTGTGGACGTGTGAGTGTGTGACTGCAATGGACGTGTTGATCGAGTGAATGGCCTGCATGCATGCCTGTCCCGTTTCTGCGATGCCCGCATCTCTGCTTTAAAGCTCGCAGAGAATGGCGGGGGAGAAGTGAATCGCTCATGTTTTAGAGGTCTGTCTGTGCAGGTACGGTGCAACTGCAACGGATTTCCCCAATGCATCGACCCCTTTGCTCTTGGCTTGGGTGTCACTCTTTCAGGTTCGTTAGCTGCCTGCCTTGGTCAGTGCGCGGCGTCACCATGGATATCCTGAGGTGCCATTCCGCCATCGGGCGCCTACATAGCGTGTGGCAGACGATGGACGAGGCGCGCGATAAGGTCGACCGCATGTTGGGTGTCCCGCCTGCGATGCAGCCGAGGGCTCCCGGCCGCGACGCGACGCTGCAGGCCCTCGCCAGGAAGCCCATCGAGCAGCAGCATGAGGTGTTGGAGGAGCTGAAGCGTCAGGCGGACACGGGGACGCGTGGTGTGCAGGACATCCAGGCTGGCGTCATACAAGAGGCCACGAGCCGGGGCCCGGCTATTCACATCGAGGCAGTGCCGCTCAAAGGTGCGTCGAAATACGGGTCCGATCGGTCATGTGGTCTGTTTCTTCCATGTCGACAGATAGCTTCAAGCGCTTCCCCCTAATCATGCACCCGTATGACACCGTCGCCAGCGTGTGGGCCAAGATCCAGGCTGCTGAGGGCCGTCCCATCCCCAGTGGCTGGCGGCTCCTGTCACCTGACGGCGAGTGCATGGGCGACTGGCAGACTCTGGCAGACCACAATGTCGAAGACGGTGACGTACTGTTTGTGGCGCCGGTGCAGCAGGGCGGTATGTTCCACTACACATCCGGCCGCTATGGCTTCTCGGTGTCCGCCGGCATCCCGGGCGGTGAGCCTGTCGAGAAGGCCAACAAGCGCATCGAGAGGGCCGAGGACTTGCTCATCCGCATGGGCGTGACGCCCACTCAGGAGACGGTCGAGTACGCACTCGAGAACTATGATAGGCTGACCATCGCCGAGAAGCTGCCATATTCGGGTAAGCAATCAAAGGGCACTCGAGCGAAGGGCTCCGCTCTTGTCACGTGTGTGTATGCGTGTGTGTGTGTTTGTATGCGTATGTGCAGGTGAGTTGGTGGGCACGTGGGCGTCGCACGGTGGTGTTCTGGAGGTGGCCAGCTCCCTGGCGGACTCAATCGAGCACATGGCCACCGCCAGTGACACACTGGTGCGGCTCTTGCCCCACGCCTCATGAGCGGAGAAGGTGAGATAATCAGCTGCGAAGGAAGGCTCGATGCCCGCACACTAACCGTTCCCTCGTGTGTGTGTGGGTGTGTGGGTGTGTGTGTGTCGTGCAGGTAGCAGCATAGACAAAGCAGCATAGATGGCTGGCTGGCCGCCCGGATGGCAAGAAGGGGCGCCTAATGGCTGGATGTTGATATCTATCAGCCCTTCTCTGCCTGCCTTACTTATCTGGCCATGGCCTCTCATCTTTCCTTGTGGTCAGACCTTGCTGGGGTCGGGTCGGGTCGGGTCGGCACAGGTATCTGTCTATGCATGTATGTATGTATGTGTATATTCTTCTGTTGCTGACTCGGTGGTGTGTGTGGTGTTTTGCATTGCATTATGGATGGGACGACTCATTGTCAATACGTGTCGACTTCATAGGACTGTTTCTCTCTACTGACAGCGGAGAAGCCCATCAAGCTCGTCGGCGTCTGTCTGTCTGTCTGTCTGTGTTTGTTGTGTATGCAGAGCCTTTGGCGGCATTGACTCGTTATCGTCAGCAGCACCGCAAGACCATCGACGGTCGTTTGTGCGCTGCGGCGTTTGCGCAGGACGGCCTGACCTACACGGACTGCACCGACGCCACCAACCCGGACGGGGCCACCGGACGAGAGTGGTACGCACATCATGACCACACATCCATGTCTCGGTCTGTCTGTCTGTCTTTGCTTAGCTGACTGCAGCGGTGCGTGTGGCGTGACGTCTCCGAGTGGCCACTGCGACTTCTACGTGACGATTGTCGGCCCGCAGCCAAAGGGCTTCAGCAAGGGCGTCTCGCGTCGCGAGGTGTCGTCGCTTCGCCACGGCCCGTCGGGCTATGCACTGGCCTTTCAATCGCTCACGCCGCCGCCCTCCTTCCAGCCCGCCGCAGGCATGCAGGTAGATGTCAGAGTGGCCAACGGCACCTGGGCGGCCGCAGAGATCGCCGCCGTGTCGACGCTGCCCAACCAGCAAAAGGAAATCCTCGTCAAACTCACTCA